TATTTAAAATATAATTATGTTAAAAATTTTGTTTTTTAAAAAATTAGTTATTTAACTAAATATTTTAAATCATAATCTATTTATTATAATTGAAAGTTTTCAGTAACTATTTAAAATATATTATTAATTTTAATATTTTGTTATTTAAGATATTTAGTTATTGAAATATTTGAATATTATTTCATTTTTTAATGTTAAATTTTTATTATTTGTATAACATTTAGATTGAATAATCTATAAAAATCATAATTTATATTGTTTGTAGTTTGTACATAATTTTGTGGTGAGTTTTGTAAAAATATATAATTATGAATATTATTAAATCAATTATAATTTTTTCTTTTTAATAAATATTTTAATGTTATTATATAATTTTATTAGAATATTTAAGTAATTATTAAATTTTTTAATTCAAACTTTCTTTAGATAGACATAGATAAAAAGTGGGGAATTTTTTATTTAGGCTTTTGGAATGTCTGGGAGAGGGAAAAACTTTAGCTATTGGGGGCCAACAACCTATGATGTTGAGAGAATTTATGGAAATGCCACATTACCATGAGAAATGGGTAAATTAGTAATTACATCTAAATTTATTTTGACTAAAAATCAAAGCATGGGCGTGAATAGGAGAACTGCACAGAATGTGCCCAACCCATAAACTATCTCAACAGCTTATGCTGTTTGGCCCCAATAGCTAGAGTTAACCCATGAGAGAGAGAGAGAGATTTTAGGAAGATTTTTTTTGGGAAAGTAGAGTTTGGAATTAGTAGTTTCAAAAATGACATGGATTAAAAATAGGGTTGCAAGTCAGGCTGGGTTATGTCGAGTTGAGGCCAACCGTAGCCCAACCCTAAGTTCTAAACCCCAACTCTAACCCTAACCCAACCCGACCAACCCAACCCTAACCCTAACCTAACTAAATTCCTTCAACCCTAACCCAATCCAACCCAAAGTCAATTTCGGGTTGGGTTGGGGGCCCAACCCAACCTTTTTCCCATCCCTTAAAACCTCATAGAATTTCTCAATTTTAGATCTTAACTCAACTTTCACTACATATATTAATTGTATGTTTCATTAGTATTTGTTTGTTGACGTTTTTTTTTTGTTCTTTTGGTGCAAAATTCAGAAAAACAAGTGTTAGAAATGACTATAATTTATTATGAGTTAGGACTTACGATAGATCTTTCTTGGGCAGCAAACAACATAGAGGAGATGAAGAATAAAATTATAAAAAAACATAAAATAAATTTATTAAGGTTTTAGTCTTTCTGATTAGGATTAAGTAAAGTGATTATCTTAAAATAAATACATAATACTATGTGGTGGGGGCTATACAAATATCATGAATCTAAACAAATCAATGTATGTCATATATTACATATAACATATATTTATTTATATATGACATGTACTATAGAGTCAGGTTTGGGTTGGCTAAGGGGTCAATCCTAACCCAACTCGAAATAAAGTCAAGTTCATGAATTTCAACCCTAACCCTAACCCGAACATCGACCCGACCCAACCCAACCTAACTTTTTTGGGTTGGGTTCGAGCCAACCCGACACAAGTTGCAGCCTCAATTAAAAATAGGGATACAAAGTGAAAGATAGGATAAAACATATATTGAACCAAGGTTTAAAATTTTGTCACGTATCGGCCGATACGTATCGGTTTTTCGACTTACTTGCACGAGAGATGGTCCTAAATCGAAGGTACTGTCTCTTTTCGCTGTGCCAAAACAGTATCGACTTCGTATCGGGCTGGTATCGGCCCGTTTCGATATGTTTTGGCCGAGTATTGGTTGATATGCAACGAATTCACTGTTACAAATAGAACAACCTTCGAAAGAGGGCTTCTAAACCCATTTCAGAAGCCCTCTTTCTTCCCCAAACACCTACAAAATTGAAATATTCACCAAGTTTTTCAAGGTTGTTTAAAAAGTATTGAAAATAGGATGTTTTTTCAAAATTTTTTACATTTTCAGCCAATGTTTTGGCCTTTTTTTTTAGTTTGGATGCTTGAAAACATCTTTATTTATGTTGATCTTCTATTCTTGTGCAAAAAATCCCACTTATTTAGTTTCTATATGTAGATCTTTGTGAATATTTGTAGAAATTCAAAAATAGTAAAAAAACTGAAAAGAAATGAAATTTTTAGGTTTTTCTTTGGATCTACCTATAGAAATTGATTATGTTGTAGATCTACGGATGATCTACCATGTCCATAGATCAATTGAATTTTTTTTTAAATAATTGATTTTTATTAATTTTTAAATTTTTAGAATAAGTAAAATATATATAATTTCTTTAATTTTATGTGATAGATTTACAGCATACTAACCCTATAGGCTGAGTATGTTGTGGATCTATGGATGATCTACCATGTCTATAGATCAATTGAATTTTTTCTAAATAATTGATTTTTTTTTTCGGAATAATATATATAATTTCTTTAATTTTATATGATCTAACCCTATAGGCTGAGTATGTTATAGATCTATGGATGATCTACCATGTCCATGAATCAATTGAATTTTTTGATAAACAATTGATTTTTTATATATTTTTTAGTTTTTGGAATAAAAAATATTTATATTTTATTTAATTTTATGTAATTTAACCCTATAAGCTGAGTATGTTTGTAGATATATGGATGATTTACCATGTCCATAGATCAAATTCATTCATTTTTTTGTTACATATTTGCTTTTCTTAATTTTAATTTAAATTTTAGAATAAAACATGAAAAATAATTATTTGAATAAAAATAAATAATTATTTAGTTTTTAAAAAATTAGAATGAAACATCCAAAATAATTACTTGATCTATTATGTCCATAAATCCATTCAATTTTTCTGTTACATATTTACTTTTCTTAATTTTAATTTAATTTTTAGAATAAAACAAGCAAAATAATTATTTGAATAAAAATAAATAACTACTCAGTTTTTAGAAAATTAGAATGAAACATGCAAAGCAATTACTTGATATATTATGTCCATAATCTGTTACATATTTACTTTTCTTAGTTATAATTTAATATTTAGAATAAAACATCCAAAATAATTATTTGAATAGAAATAAATAATTATTCAGTTTTTAGAAAATTAGAATGAAACATGCAAAATAATTACTTGATCTTTTATGTCCATAAATTCATTCAATTTTTCTGTTACATATTTACTTTTCTTAATTTTAATTTAATATTTAGAATAAAACATCCAAAATAATTATTCGAATAAAAATAAATAATTATTCAGTTTTTAGAAAATTAGAATGAAACATGCAAAATAATTACTTGACCTATTATTCCCATAAATCCATTAAATTTTTCTATTATATATTTACTTTTCTTATTTTTAATTTAATTTTTAAAATAAAACATCCAAAATAATTAATTGAATAAAAATAAATAATTGTTCAGTTTTTAGAAAATTAGAAAGAAACATGCAAAATAACTACTTGATCTATTATGTCCATAAATCCATTTAATTTTTCTGTTACATATTTGCTTTTCTTAGTTTTAATTTAATTTTTAGAATAAATTAATAAAGCATCCAAAATAATTATTTGAATAAAAATAAATAATTATTTAGTTTTTAGAAAATTAGAATGAAACATGCAAAATAATTACTTGATCTATTATGTCCATAAAGCCATTCAATTTTGCTATTACATATTTACTTTTCTTAATTTTAATTTAATTTTTAAAACAAAACAAGCAAACACATTGGAACTAAATTAGGTACTTTACTAAATAGTATGTTTTTGTTCCTGTATGTTGATTATAATATGTTTTTTCATAAAACAGACTAAAACATGTTATTTTTATAAATAAATATCCCATTTATGTCTTATATTTAGTGATACTAATGTTTATTTATGATTTATTGAAGTATTTATAGCATTTTCATGCGTATCTGTATCTTAATTTTACGTCCGTATCCATGTGTATCCATGGTGTATCCCGATACGTCTCTTAAATTTACCTTTCCAATACGCATAGCGTTTCCGATACTTTAAACCTTGTATTTAACTAATTAAGAAATTAGATTGTTATAGAGAGTGAAAGACGTGAGTTGTGAGAAGAGAGAGAGAACCTAATGGGAAGGGAGAAGAATGAAGAGAGAGGGTGCTGAGATGACAAAATATGAGTGGTGGGAAGGGAGAGAGGAGAGAGTCAAGGAGATTGCAAATTTGGAGTAATGGAGCAAGGAAAATCACAGTAATGTGGACTGTCTTGCTATATATATATTGTCATTTAGCTGAACTGTTGATGGACCTAATTGTTGGTTCTTGGATCCAACCTCTAAAGGATGACTGCGTCTGCGTGCCAACAAAGCCTTTGAATTGAGTCTACTTTTCCATTCTCTCTCTACTTCCCCTCCCTTCATTGGATAATATTCCTAGATATTATTTCATGGTTAACAGGCAATTGAGTGATGACCTACCTTATTAGGTCGGTTAAGCTTTAATTTGAATATATTATACAGAGATCAAACCATACATTAGACAGGAACCCTCCGGTCGTCTATACCCAACAAGTAAGAAAGTTGAACTTCTTTTAGTTCTAAACATTGCCCCATAGAAGGGTTTATTCTAGCCACGTGGCTAGGATTCTGCGCCACCATAGAACATGGTAGAGCGAACACATGAAGCCCTTGTGGACTAACTTTCGAATGCAGAAAGATCTTAAGAGGACTGAAGGTTATTAGGGTCGGTTTTGGTTTGGAGATTTAAGCCTCTTAGGGGGAATCTTTTGGGCTTTGAGGTTTTTTGGGTCTTGAGAGTGAATTCTGCCTCTTCTTCGTAAGGTTAGGGAAAGAAAAATCTCGTATTTAAAAGGGATTGGTGGGTTATGGGCTTTTGCCTTTTGTGTGTAATGTGTAATATAGCTTATCACCTTGTTGTATTCTCCTTTTCTTTAATAAAATTCCTTATTTATTTATTTACAAAAAGAAAAAGAAAAAAAAGTCTAAGTATCATCCCAACAAACCAAAAACTAAACCCTCAAGCATGAAAGCCGGGTAGTCAACATTGCTAGTTCTGCAGCATTAGTCCAATACAACCTTCAGTCGCTTTTCCCTTTAAAGGCATCTGTATCTCTTTCTTTCTCTTTTCTTACTTACACTACCAATCTGTATTATTCATTAACACTACAATTACACAGTTTATTTTCATCTACACTAAAAAGAAGAACGAAATGGACTTTGTGAGGACTTCCATCTTTGACTCTATCTCCGATATTTCACAGAAGTTTTTTTTTTTTTTTCTGTAAGTTTGGTGTGCAGGAAAACAGTTGGAGCTCTTTGGAACAACTGAGAATGGTAAACATATCAGAAAATTGACAGTATATCCACTTAGCCCTCTGATGAAAGCATGCTGCACTGGTTTTAAAGTCGTTTCACTTCTTGAAATAACAAAAACCAAAATTAAACATCTGATTAGATGGTGAAAGAAGTATAGATGGAAACTGTTAGAGCACTAAAAGATGATACTCTAATGGAAGAAAAGAGATTAATATTAGAAGACAAATACCTCCTTATACTAATGAACCTTGTCGCAGTGGCTGGGCCTCATTTTGTTGGTTGTCGAGTGGCATGTATTGTGACATGATAGCCATGATCTCCGAGTCCATGTATGACTACAATGAAAGTGATAACCAAAAGTTCAGAAGGGAACATGTAACTGATAAAAATAATCATACAGATAGAAGATACACATGCGAAAATATGGAAATAAGGTTTCTTCTGTTTGGCATACCCGAAGCCTGTACTTGTAGAATATATAACCTGCTAAACCAGCCCCCGCAATACATGCTAGAACCAAGAATGTAAGGAACCATGCGTATTTTGATGAATTCCTAGCTGTACAATGGATGGACAAGGATTAAAGAAAATTACATGGTAGATTTTAAAAGGGATCAAACGAAGTTAGTTTCGTGAATTTGAGATTTTATATTTGCTGGAACCATTACTCTGAGAACAATTGGATCTGAAAATCCCAATTCCAGATCTGACACCACTGAATTAAATCTAATTTTACACACATAACTAATGAAAACCAAAATGAACCATGCCAGTCTTGTATCTTCAACTTTCAAAGTGGTGATTCAAAACATTTAAACCAATTTAAATACTAATATTTGTTCTTTGAGGTCATGTACCATAGCCAAGTAGCTGATCATACAAGTTTTATAAGGCATAGTTGAGTTGAGTTGAGAAACATTTGGAATGAAGAACATAGAAACTATTTGAAAAGCTGAATCCTTAATGTTCTGCACCATAGCTACATCAAAAAACCAATATGGGTTTTCATGATTATAGATTGGATATCCATCAACAGCAAATCAAGTCGGATCTCAGTGACTAGACTCTAGGAGAACCCCAAGGTGGGATCCATAGAATGGTTAGTTAGAGGAATAGAGTTAACGAGGACTGCAAAAGTTGTCCTTCATAGGATGACAATGCACCTCAATCTTGAAAGCCACTCTTGACAAAATGCTAAATTAATGATCATGTTTTTGAGTGTGATAACTAGATTCAATAGACTTTACCCATTCATGCAGCTATATCTCTCAGGTAGTTAGAAATTATACAAGTCTCCTTACCAATACAAGTGTCCTGATCCATTATGTATAAAAGGTCTCCCTTGCATTTGCAGTCATAACTACCCCATGTGTTCTTACAAGTGCAACCATCGCACTGACAAGCAAGACCTTCCTTGCATTCATTAATGTCTGTGCATTCAAAAGCTCTGTTAGATTAGGGATCAGAGAATTTAATATCAAATGTGTCAAATAGTTATATGGAAGTATCCAATAGGAATCAAATTGGGATCTTTGGAAAGCACCTTCACAAGTATGACCATCCCCTTGGAATCCTGGTGGGCAGTGACATCCTTTTACCTCAGACTCCTAATTCATATAAATAAAAGAATGAATAAGACAGGAACAAAAAAGAAAATAAGATATTTTCAAGTCTCTGACCAGCCATGCTGAAAATGGTAGAATGGTAGAATCATAAAGGAAAAGTATAGGGGACAATGTGACGGAACTGAGCATGCTGAAAAGGTCTTCCCATTTCTAGTATCTGTCCAGCAGCCACCATTGTTCATCATACACCTTGCAGGTCCCACAGCTGTTAATCAAAGAAAAGAAGAAAAAATGTCAGCTCCAAAGGTGATTGCCTACAATAACAATTATCTCCATTCAATAGGGGACACCAACTGGCTCTTGGTAAAGTCAGTGGATGTATCTCCCACAGACCCGGGGGCAAACCTCATCTTCACCTCCCCATCCCCCCACCCCTCCACAAATTTGAAAAAAAAAGGGTTCCGTTCTATCCATAAAGGGTAGGGAGCTGGTTGTAATCCTAGATAAAGCATAAAATTTGAAATCGTTTTTTATATCAATGATGGAATTAGTAGGGTGAACTAATCTAAGTTTAAATATTTTGTTCTCTTAGGCCCAAGAAAAAATCCAGATCCTTTTCCTAAATTGCATCTATGCAAAGTGTGAGTTCATTAACAACATGGAAAGAGATACTGCTAGTGAACTAGCCAGGAAGCAATCAAAGAAACCATTTTCTAAACTTCCAATTTATTATCCATGAGGTCATATCAAGGGCCATATTTCCCATGGGACTAGAGCTGCAAGGTTAAGCGAACATGTTCTTCCAAAAGCCAAATTTCTATGTGTCTATTACATACCAAAGAGAAGGGAAAAGTATTAATTTTATGGAGTGCCAAGCTAGACAATCGTGAAGCACATCAAAAGGATTATGTTTAGTTGCTACAAGGGAATTAATTTAAATTTATAAATAAGTATGAAGCCTGGGAAAGACATAATCATAAAAAATCAGATCCTTGTGATACTTGACTATAGCCACCATAGGTGAATATGATAAGAAGGATGAACTGAGATGGTATGGGCATGTAAAACAGAAGAATTATGGGAAAAATCACTATGATACAGGTTGAAGGCTCATAA